ACCCCTCGAACAGTTTGAGAGACATTCCTCTAGTACGTATCCAAAACATGTTCTGAACCATTTTGAACAACGTGATAAGCTCTTTCATGCACTTGTAGAGCCTTCTAAAAGCCCGCTGTTTAGAAAAGTAACAAAAGAATTGGAATTTCATATAAAGCTCTTCCTAACTTACAAGGTTAAGAAAATGGCAGCATGTAAACATATGAAAAGGCTTTATGAATACATAAATAAGGTGAAAAAATCGCCTAACTTGCACAAGGTCCTTGAGGACTCGGAAGGCATCAAGTATACCACAGATAGTGCCAGGGCCAGCATTAGCGGATTACTTTGCAAGTGTATTTGAAAAGTCGCCTTTATTTACACCCACTCTGCCAAGCCTCTCTTCAACCCACTTTGAACTACCAACTGTATCGTATCGAAAGGTGCTCAAATCTCTCCGCGCGCTGAAGCCGTCGTTGTCGCCAACAGCGCACGAGGTACCCCAATTCTTCTTCAAGCAATTTTTCTGAGTATCTTGCAGTCCCTGTCACCCATGTTCTCATATGTCCTTGATGCTGGGTCAAGTTCCTAAAATTTGGAAAAACTCATGTCACACCCATATCTAAAACATGGAATGCACGCCTCTTTCCAACTTCAGGCCAATAAGTATCTTACCAGCTCCACTGAAAGTTATTGAAGGACTTGTCAAGGACGAACTGTTGAAGTGGGTTACCAAGCTGCACCTAGTCCCTGTGGAGCAGCACGGCTTCATCCCCGGAGCATCTACTTGCACCCAGTTACTTGAGTGTTTACACACCTGGATTGAAGCGTTAAATCAAGGCAAAAATGTCGACATTGTATATTTTGACCTGAGCAAGGCTTTCGATAAAGTTAATCATTATAGGCTGCTAGCCAAGCTTGAGAATTGGAGTCCGAAACACCGCCTACTATTGGTTCAAATCATATTTAACCGGCTGGAGGATGAATGTTCGCGTGGGCGACTACTTATCAACCACTAGAGAATGCCCGTCTGGCGTCCCCCAGGGTGGGGAGGGGGGAATTCTTTCACCTCTCCTCTTCCTCATATACACTCATGACCTACTCGGATCCCTCTTTACAGATAGCAGACTAATGGCTGCCGGTTTCGCGGACGATGTCAAAGTTGCGGGAATTCATAGTGAAGAAGATAGGCTAGTTGTCCAGCGAGCGATGAATAGCTCTTGACAATATGCTCGCGTGATCCCACAACTGGGACCTAGCAATAAACCCAAGTAAACTGTAGCATTTTCACTTGGGTCCTCTCCTCTTGAAATCTGTTTCCCGGACAAGGTACGCATTAGGCACAGTGATGAAATTAAGGATTTGGGAGTCAGGCTTTCCAAAAATTTAAGCTGGACCACACATGTCGAGGAAGTTAGCAACAGAGTCCTGAGTTTGGTTTACCACCTTTTCAGGAATATCCATTGCTCTGACGTTAAGCTATGGATAAGACTCTGCAAGTCATATATCCTTCCTATTGTAGAGTATTGTAGTCCCATATGGAGCCTTGTGCTGGTCAAAGATATCAAAAAACTTGAGAAAGTGCAGAAAACGTTCACCAGAATTCTATATTACAAGGCTTTTCCCAGTGCAAGCTACCCTAGAACCATTCCTTCCTATAGTGCGAGACTTCATGAACTCAATTCGAAAAGTCTTTTCTATAGAAGAATATCTACAGACTTAGTTTTTGCTTTTATCCTCAGAGGCGAGCCGCGTCGTCCTTCGAAGTTTTGGACTTTCCGTCCCTCCAGTGGTCGTCTAGGATGTCTTTTGGCGTTTGGGCACGAAATGGGAAAGTTCCAGAGGCAGCTGCGACATAACAGCTTCATCTTGCGGACTACTCGTTGGCTCTCGAATCTGCCTCCCTCTCTTTCCTTTTGTAAAGACTCCTCCCATTTCAAAAGAGAGCTGAATAAGGTTAACGTATTGGAAGCCCTCGGGTTGGAAGATGTACAGTAAACGCGTTTACACTTCGAATGCTTGTGAAGATACTCCTTTTTTCGGTTCCTCCTGGTCAAGAGCGGCATCATGGGAAAGAAGTCGAAACCAGATCTACACAGGTTGTCCAGAAACTGCAAATGCTGGCGAACTCGTCATAGCATCGACTCAGGTTAGCTTACTAAGGCTGTGGTAGGGAATGATTGACAGCACATTTACGCTTTTGCCTGTTTTGTCGGCTCCACGTGGGCAGCCGGCATATCCGTGTCTCAGAGTTCCGACAAAATCCCATGACCCCGGATGTGGCGTAAGGACACCATGGCCGACTGGTGTAGGCGCTAGCGTCAGTGCTCACTAGAAACCCTACTTCTTGGATAACGGCTCAATCCAAAGTCATGCTGTTACTTCGGAACCGCCCGGGACAGCTCTGCTCTTGTTGTTTCTTCTTCCTAGCTTCATATGCCCACACACATGCCACTCTTCATTTCGAGAAGTTACATATCATAAGGAGCTGTAGCCCTTCTGTCTGAGTTTCGTCTTTTTGGGTCTCCTCTACTTCTAGTGCATCTTCTTACGTAGATTTCCAAGGCACGAATGTTTTTGGTCACATGGTAGTTCTTCCTCGCGCTTTCCTTTTTCGTGTGTCTATTTTTATTTCTTTTCTGTTTTCTTTTTACTTTGTTACTTTTTTAAAACTCTTTTTTTGTTGTTTCCTTGAATTTTTTGTTTCTATCATTTCCTCTGTGTTTGACTCTAGAATCACTGAGTTCTGTTACGGATCTCTCGCACGGACCGTTGTACTGACCTGACGCGTCATTGTACGCATAAAATAAATAATAATAAAACGTCCGGCCAACAGTCCCGCATGTGCCTCTTCAAAGACTGCTCGTCTGGACAACGGCACAACCCTACGAACTGTATCGTTCTCTAGTAAGCCTAGGTAGCCCTTGTCCATAATAAAGTCTACCACTTTGGACTTTTGGGACATCTTTGGAATGATGATTCCCTCATCCAGATTCCCTGCTTCCAGGCTATCTATGATCTTGCTATACGTGGGATCTCGTCGTAGTTCAGTCATCCACTCGGGCTCTTCCTTTGTCGCTGCTACAATGATTTCACTGGTGATCTCCTCACCTGTTACTTCCTCATTCAGGGTAGCACCGCGACTTAACACATCCGCAACACGATTGACAACCGCTTTCAAGTAGACGATCTTGAGATTGTATTTTGCAGTTCGAGCGCCCACATGAGAATCATGCTGACGCGTTTGTTCGTCTGAATAGAGCTGTCAAAGTTTGGTGGTCAGTATACACCTCAACTGGAAGCCCGTACACGAACATGTGAAACTTCCTCAGGGCAAAGACCACAGCCAAGCTTCGTCAGTGAAATGATAGATCTTTTCACATCGAGACAGACCCTTCGACGCAAAGAATACTGGATGTAGAAATCCATCGTCGCCTTCCTGACTCAATACAGCTTCCTGCCCTTGGATACTTGCGTCAGTATGAATTTCGAACGGAACGGTCTTCTACCGCTCCTCGCCGCTTCAATACCAGGTTGCGCTAACACTGGCGCCTGCATTATTACTGCCTTCAACTTTTCGAAGCATGACTTTTTCATGGAATCCCATTCAAATACCACTTTCTCGGACGTCATCTCATGGAGCGGAGCGACTACCTTAGAGAATCCCAAAATGAACTTTCGGTAGTAAGAACACATACCGAGGAACGTTCGTAGGTCCGAGCGCGATTGGGGTAGCGGGTACCTTCTAATCGCTTCCACCTTGGCTGGATCCATGTGCAACCCATCACAATCTATTACGTGGCCAAGGAACTCCACTTTCCTTTCCAGCAACACGCATTTCTTTGGGTTCAACCTAAGTGCTCCACCGTTTCAGTGGCTACCATGATGTCATCCATGTAGCAGAAGACTTCATCTCCCAGTAGAGGCTCGAGAACCGCATGCATCATGCGTTGAAATACCGCAGGTGAGGATGCGAGCCCGAAAGGTAGTGCCCGGAACTGGTACAGACCTTCCGTTGTGGCAAAGGCCGATTTCTCTTTTGCATCTTTAGATAGACTTATTTGCCAATAGCCTGCTGACAAGTCCAGAATTGAAAAGTACCTTTGACCCTTTAAACTCTGGAGAATTGTGTCAATCGTGGCAGTGAATGACCATCTATCCTTGTCACCTGGTTGATCTTGCGATAGTCTGCGCAGAGTAGGAGTGTTCCGTCCTTTTGAACCGACGATGGGTGAAGCCCAGCTCGATCTACTTGGTACGATAATTTTCCGCTCGTGCAAATCACTGAGATTCCGTCGGATCTTTAAGCGAGTAGCCAGTGGTATCGGGCGAGGCTTTTGTCGGTTCGGTGGTGCCTCACGGTGTCGATGTTGTGTTCCACCAGCGTTGTCTGGGTGAGCTCTCGCTCGCTCACCGCAAAGACTTGAGCGTAGCTTTTGACGAGATCATCAACTTCGTCGCTATTCCCCTGTTTGTCCTGTTCGCGGAGCATCTTCAAAAGTCTGTCTTCTCGGTCTGTAAGAGCTTCCACTGTGCGCCCCAACATGTCTCCCGAATACGTGACAGGCTTGACTTCAACGTCTTTTCGGGTTCGAGAATTCCCACCTCCTCCCCTAGTCGGAAGATCTTTGCTCCTGCAAAGGTGTTTGTTACCGGCACCTCAACTGCCTTCTCTCCACCTTCCCACGACATCAGGAAGTAAGTGGTCCTTAGACCACAAAATTCCTCCTTGGGTGAGGTCCTTGCATTGAATTGGCAGCGATTTTGACTGTCCCGGAGGAATGTACACCCTTTTCGCAGCGGTAGCTGAGAGAGAACAGGGTGGTTTTCTCCTCCGACATCTTGCTTTCCTTCCGCGTTCATTTAGCGGAACGTCCTCGCCTACCGTGATCGGAGGTAGCACCACAGACTCTGAGCACTTTCGCTGAGTGAGGTTATATCCAAGTGGCCGCAGTGCATTGGTCCCAAGCACCAGCATGCCGTCTCCTCCAGCCATGACAAAGGCAGCGATCCGCTGCTTCTTACCGTCGCTCATCTGCAGCGTCGGTCTGATCGCTTCTTTGAAGGACATTCTGTTGCCCGAAGCATAAATTACCTGCTTTTACTCTGACCGCAAACAGTTGGAGGTATTCTGGCCAGTCGGTTAGCTGGCTCACCAATTCTCCTGCCCTTGTACGGGACAGCTCTTCTTCCGATGCATCTGGATAGGCTTCTCTTGACATCCTTTCCAGTTCCAGGCAGAATTCTGTTACGCCTCCATGTTTCTTGAGGTGTTTCAGATCCAAATACGCCTTCATCTGCATCGCCGAATTGTCCACAGCAAGCTTTGCTCGCAGAGCTTCCACAAGGCTTTCAGAGTTCCCCTCTCTTACGAGCTTCGATAGGGATTTCTACCCTTTTTGGGTAACCTTGCAGTTTGGAGAGCAACAGTTGGTTGAGCAGGTCATTCCGTAACCCAAGGCTCCGGTATTTCATCGTGAACCTCATGATGAACTGGTCAAATCCTTCTCGTTGAGGGTCACTGTACACCTTCACTTCGGGTAGGGCCATAGCCGCAAATATGGACCCCATAGCATTTGAAAGACTCACCTGGGCTTGGGCACGGAATCGACGACGACTGGCTCGAGTCCCTGCTCCTCGGCCTCCACTCGGTCGTCCTTCCTTGCTGCAAGTGGGTACTCTCACTTTTTCCACCGAGACTTGTAGGCCTCCTGCCTAACCGAAGGGTCTTACGTTGCGCCGTCGCCACTGGATCAAAATCCAAATGGTACTCCTTATTGTCGAAATCGCCGACGTTCAATTGTTCATACACTATCGGCGGCGCGTTTGTGCTGCATTCTGCTCCAGCAGGCAGACGAAGCTCCTGCAAAAAAGAGGATTTGAATGCTTCACGATACCAGCCTTCTCTTTTTCAGGCTTATCCAGCTTTCTCGCCTTTAGGAGTTTCCCACGCCTTAGCGCTCATAACCACTGAGAGCCTTCAGACACCGCGGCTTTTAGTGCTGACCTCAACTTCTAGCTCTTTGAGATTCTCCAGCTCCCGCTCAGTAGGGCTACACTCCTCATTTATCTTTGAGCTTGTCGCCTCCTCGAGCTGTTTGGTCGACTTCGTCGAAACTCCTTGCACTAATTCAGCCGGAATCTCACGCAGACTTTTCAAAGTCTTCGCGATAGTCTCTATAGAATTGCGCACCTGTGTGCCTCTAGCCGTTAGGCTATTAACCTTTTTCAACAGGCTATCCAGCGACTTTCTCATTGCCGACAGCTGCTCTGCTGTGGTCACGTCGCTCAAGAGCATTTCCTCCAATTCAGCTGGCCTTAGTCCTGCTTCCTCTGCCATCATACTGTCTGCAATAGTTGACGTTTAATACTCGAATGCGTGTAGGCACTTCGAACATAACCGCGAATGCTTCCGCTTACAGTCAGTGTACACTCCCCGACCAACAATAACAGACGCGAGACGGATTACCACGTGACGGGTCCCTGTTAACAGTCAGGCATAAGTTAAACTTTATTGAAATCTTATCGGATATTTTCACCACCACATTAAAGAGCATATTAAATACTATTACGATACTCCGCCACAACCTTCTGCAGGAGAGCCGTCGAGAGATTCTGCCACGCGACCGTTGGGTGCCTGAGTTCAGCGAGATCGTTGACTTCTCCGCCACTGTGGACCACCCTATTCAACTCCGCCCGAACCAGGTAATTGAGGGGGTTTGAGTCAGATGACCTGCTTGAATATTCCACCTTCCTCAGGTACTCAACGCCCCTCCATAGGGAAGGGTAGGGAAGAGTTTTCCCAACGCCCTTTGATTTCATGTGGTGTCACCTAATCCTGTAGCAGTACAAAGTTTCCAAGAAGGTACGGGCGACGACATGTGGGGAGGATATTCTTCTTCAGTTGCTCGATGTAACCGCCAGTGCTCACCTTCAGTCCGGGGCCCGCAAAGAAAATATCGGTCTCTCCATTCCAGGTACGCCCGGTCCCTACCATCAACTGGTGCCTTGGCGACTGAGGTGAAGATGATATCCTAGACCGTAGCGATGTTGACGGAGCTGCTCGATGATGGAGGTCTTCCAGATCGAGAGTAGTGGTCTCCAGGTAGCTATCCATGGGTGGCTCCAAACCAGAAGTTTCGCAGCTGTTCGGAGGTGACATGAATTCCGAAGGTCTTCTCCAGTCAGGTTGCTGCTGGAGATGACTTCATATTTTGGTGTACATGAAGGTGATGAGCGAGCGCCAGCTCCTGCTTATGGAGGAACATCTTGAGTATCCTCCGCCCTGGTACTCGTATCCACGTCCTCTGTCTGGGCTGCGAAAACTTTGCTGACATGTGACTCGATCGAAATGTCTTTTTCTTGGCTATATATATACAGGGGGGCCAAAAAAAAAGTCATTTTGCCTCCATGACTTTCAAGGCGCTGTAAGTTACACTTTATTAAATTTTTATCGGACATTTTTACTACCATATTAAAGAGCACATTAAATACTATAATGATACTCCGCCACAGCCTTTTGGAGGAGCGCCATCGAGAGATTCGGCCGCGCGAAAGTGAGTGTGTACCGGAGTTGAGCGAGATCGTTGATTTCTCCGCCACTGTAGACCACCCTGTTGAGCTCAGCCCGAACTAGGTAATTGAGTGGGTTCAGGTCAGGGGATATATTTCAATATTACATCTTCATCAGGTACGAAACGCCCTTCCATTAGAAGTAAGCGAGAGTCTTTCCTACACCCTTATATTCCACCCAAACCTGTAGCAGTACAAAGTTTCCAAGAAGGTACGGGCGACGACATGTGGGGAGGATATTCTTCTCGAGTTGCTTGATGTAACCGCCAGCGCTCACCTTCAGTCCGGGTCTACAAAGAAAATATCGGTCTTCCCATTCCAGGTACCCCGGTCCATACCATCGACTAGCGCCTCGGCGACTGAGGTGAAGATGATGTCCTAGACCGTAGCGACGTTGACGAAATTGCTCGATGTTGGGGGCCATCCAGATCGAGAGTACTGGTCTCCAGGTAGCTATCCATGGGTGACTCCGTACTAGAAGTTTCGCAGTTTGGAGGTGACATGAGTTCCGAAAGTCTTCTCCAGTCAGGTTGCGATTGGAGATGCTTCATATTTTGGTGTACATGAAGGTGATGAGCGAGCGCGAGATCCTGCTTATAGAGGAACATTGAGTATCCTCCGCCCTGATACTCGTATCCACGTCCTCTGTCTGGGCTGCGAAAACTTTGCTGACATGTGACTCGATCGAAATGTCTTTTTTTGGCTATATATATATGCAGGGGGCCAAAAAAAAGTCATTTTGCCTCCATGACTTTCAAGGCGCTATAAGTTACACTTTATTAAGTTTTTATCGGACATTTTTACTACCATATTGGAGAGCACATTAAATACTATAATGATACTCCGCTTTTGCGCCAGGTTGACGCCCAACACTAAAAAGGAAGGACATTTCTGTACCGAGGATGTCATATAAACAGAGTATAAAAGTTTATGTCGAATATCGAATATTGAATTCGCCAATTTTCAGCAACTGCGCCACATGGCGCCAACACTTGAAAAAGAATTAAGCATCTGTAATAAGGATCTCAGATAACCCAGGTTTAGAAGTGTTATAGAATTCGGTCTCAAAAAACAGTTAGCGCTGAAATGGCGCCTAATGGCGTCTATGACGTCGACTACAACTACGATAGCATGTTCGTAGTCACAGGCCCGAGCGATCCCCTTCATCAAGGTTTCATCCAAAAAGAATTACTCCGGAGGTCTCTGACATGGCAGTGGCTAGAGAAAAATTCCAATTCTGATGAAATAATTTCCATGGAGGCAACATTTTTCTCGCTCATCCCTGTTGGGAGTTCATCTTTTACAAGTCATCAGAATACAAACAGAAGGTCGATAGAAACCGAAGGCAACAATCCAAAAAGTGGTGCAAAAGTAATGAGCCACCGGTGGCTCATTACCCTGCTCCACATAATGATAGTTCCACTCATAAATCTTACAAAATCCTGTCTTAGATGACGTTTTCAAAATTGCCCTCAAATAGAAAACGTAATAATGACCAGTGCCAATTCGCATGTCAACACCTAAGTAGAAAAAATAACTTTTTCCATTTTCTTAAAAAGTTGTCACTCTGACAATTCCGCAAAATTATAGTTCCACCTCACGTTTTCTCGCTGTGCCCCGTTTTGTTGGGTAGAACTGTCTTATCATTGTCACTCTTTGTCTTCTCTACGTTATGGCAAGAGAATATTCATTATCATACTCCGAAAAAGGACAGATAATCGTAAAGGAGGCTCAAGAATTGTCTGACCGAAAAATCGTACGGGATTTGGGCCGCAGTCATGGATATGGAACTAAGAAGAGCTCTGGGCGCTTTCCTTCGCTCAATGATCGAAATAAGCGCCGTGTTTTAAGAGAAGCATCAAATTTTACAATGTCGTGCCCGGAAATAAAGTCAACTTCGAAGCTTAACGTCTTGAAGGAGAGTGTTCGGCGTGTCTTGAGAAAGTCCGAGTTCATTCTCAGGAGGAAAATGAGGGAGGCACCTTTTTTCTGATTTAGAGGCATCGTGAAAATCGAATCGACTTTGAAAGGAGATGTTGCCGAACTGGCTGGAGTAAGGTTAGCGCATGGCAGCGGTGCCCTACTGCTCGTCTGCCTTGTCTTTCCAGTGTTTTTTACTCCAGGTCGTGCTTTCTGATGAGGAAAAATCCATTTGCGACGGAACAGACGGAAATCGATTCTACTCTTCTACTGACATGATCTTAGGAAAGAGAAGCGTCATTTTTCCAGGCGGAATTTCGCAGGAGGTGGTCTTATGGTTTGGGCTGCCGCCACATCAGCGAAATCTCTGAAGTTGTGTTCCGTTTCAAAAAAATGAACTTCCGATTATCTAAAAGGTCTCCTTCTCTTCCTGGCGTAAAATTGACAGAGACCTCTTTTTAGTGCAAAATAATGCACCATGCCAGTCGAAACACTAGAGCGTGGTTCAGTAGTCATCAAATCGCTCTTTTTACCTGGCTAGCGAATAACCCTTGAACTCAATTGAGATTGTGTGGGGTTTGTGCGTGGGATCTTTGCGAACAATGCATGATTCCACAACCGTGAGCTTAAGGAGTCAATCATTGTTGCATGGCAGCATGTCGACCGAGAACTGAATTGAAACCTCTATATAGAGAATCCTCTATGAATCTTACCGAACCGACCGGTATCATTCTGAAGGAGACCAGGATCAACAACAAATAGAGTGATAATTGATTGTTGTGATTGCCTTATAAAAGGAGCGGTTGTGCACAATAAATACTTCACTCATCGTCGTCTCTTCCACCGGCCGTCCACACTCCCGCCACAACCCGCCACACTCTATTCGAGCATAGAAAACCGCATTTTCCAAGTTATTGAGAAACGGAGTTTCAGTAGATTAGTGAATCAACAATAAATTCATTTTGTTGTGCAGTTGTTGTGGGATGAATCGATTTGTTTGGTGGAACTATCATTTTGTGGAATTGCCTGAGTGGCCACTTTTCAAAAAAAAATGAAGGAAAAAACCTACAAGTCAGTTTTCTGTGTTGGCATGGGGATGGCACTGGTAATAACCGCAGTTCCTACCTAGAGGCATTCTCAAAAACGTCATCTAAGACGGGATTTTCTAAGCTTCATGGGTGGAAATGTGGAGTAGTGTAGTGTCCTAAACGGTCTCTCGCGTATCGCCGGTGGCTCATAATGTCGTCAACGTATTGATGACCTATTAATGGCTACCGTTAAGGCAATGGAGTCAGCTGGAACGTCTGACTATGCTAGTGCGCGTTCCATATTTCTTCATCTAAGAGATGTTCCGATTGGTAGGTACATTGTTTTACCAACGACGTTTGCTCCACGAGAACAGTCATCGTTCATGTTGCGAATTTATTCGGATCACAACGTCGATCCACGAGTTCTTCTGAAAGTAGGTTTAACTACATCATTGCTTCAGTTTAAAAGTGTTGTGGAAACATGGCATAATCTTCTGCTTGAAATGTGATGCTTAGAATGGTCATACTTTTTGTTATGAATGGACGACATCAAGTGTTCGCGTGTATTATGTAGCTTGGCTTCACCAGCGCTTAATATTTGGTTAACCCGTATTCGAGTGGACTCAGCTATCAAGTCGCTGATGGAACTATAGCTTTATGACATGATGCTTGAACGCTACGAAAATTGACCCTCTTCGTAGTGAGCTATAACAGAGGATGAGAAAAAAATTGTCTTCAACAACCCAAGGCAAAAACGGTTGTGAGCTCTTTTCAGTAGATTTCCATTGATTACAAGTATCAGGAGACAGGGAACTTTTGGCAAACGAACTAGGCAGTATGTACTCTGCCTAATCTGTTTCCTTGGAAAATTTGTTTTCAATCTACCCTGAAAGTCGGAAGACTCTACGGACTCTCCCGCATAGAGACCTGACTTCCGCGCATACAGTAAGTAGAGAGCAACCTTTCCTTGCCTTTGAGCAGGAATTAGTCGATCGTTCGGTATCATCGACCCCTTTAACAGTCTAGAGTACTATCAATGTCACACAATACAATGATTATGCTGCGTGGAGCAACCGTCGATAATTTCCGTAATATATCCATAAATCATTGTATTGTGTGACATTGATAGTACTATAGAAGATCGGAA